CTTCCCATCGGTGGCAGTCTCCGTCAGGTGCCCCACGGGCCCCCAGAGCCATCAGGGAGTGAGGATTGAGCGTGGACTTTTGTGGATTGTGGACGTTGAGGGACTTCAGGGACCCTGGCAGCCGAAGAACTATGGCATTTCACATCTTCGTGCTACACGCACCCATTTCCGTGGCGCACCTGCTGGCAGGCCAGCTCCGTATTCCATGTGCCCGCTGCGCAGCAGGTTCGCTCCGCTTCGGACCCAAAGGGGCGCTAAGAGCGGCGCCCACGAGGGGGTCGGGGCGAGGAGGGAGGGGCCTTTTGAGAAGGCAGAGGGTTCCCCTTTCTGAGAATACTACTGATATCAATAAGAAGACGAAACAAAATGAGAAGAAGAATAAGCATAATACTAACCATCGGAGGTTGGGGGGTGAGATCGCAGTGTAACGGAGTCCCCCCACCGGGAAATCGAGTTTCGAGTTCATGCTCGTGCCGTGCGTGCGGGCGAGGCGAAGCTGCGTGGGCCAGCGAGAGGAATTCACTCTGCTGTCGCTAGGGGTCCGCCAACACAAATGTTTCCCCCCCCCGGCCTTGTCAAGCGGGGGCCCACGTTGTCCCGTCGGTGGCCCGCCGGTTGCCCGCTGGTAGCCCACGTTGTCCCGTCGGTTGCTCGTCAGTGCACCCATCGTCGACTGGGACGTCGTGGGCTGAGTGCCGCGTCGCGCAGCGGCAAACCGAAAGACACAAGTCGCCCAAGCGAAGGAACAAAAAAAATCCGCCACGTCATCCACACCATCATCGCCCATCAGCACCACGTTCATCACAGTTGTCGTCATGAGCCACCCCCCTACCCCCACCCCCCCAGAACCTCCTTATCACCCGCAGGGTGGTCGTATAGGTAAGAAGAAGAATAATACCCCCTACCAAAAAAACTGCACTAACATTAACTTTCGAATGGCCACGCGAATGTCTTGGATCGGCGTTGGACTCACCTAGAGCTCCAGCGCCAGCCCACCTCCCGCTCCACCGCCAGCCCGAGGGAACACGTTGCAACCATCTGTGCTTCTGCAACTCGTTCCCTCTTCAGCAATGACACATCAGACGGGGGCTTCTTGGTGAGCCCTCCCGCTTTCTGGGCCGGCCTGCTTGGAAGCCCCGGGGACCTCCCAGGACCCTCCTGGGGGGGGACAACAACAAAAAAACGATATCGCTACTGGGGAAACCAAAGGGTACCGGTGCCGCTACTCCCTGGACCTCTCCCGGGGTGCGTTCTGACCAGGATTTCGAAGCGAATCCAGCGGTGGCGACAACGGCCTCTCAGGAGGCCCCAAAAGGCTGAAACGAAGGAAGGGTAGCGGTAAAAGTACAATTTTCTCCTCTGAGCTGTTCCCTGGACCTCTCCAGGTGGTGCGTCTTGGCCCGACTTTCGAGGCGAAAGCAGCAGTGGCGGCGAGGGAAGCCCTGACAGCCGCCGACACGATGTCTTCCGTCCGCGGCCCCAGATGTCCCGAGCGCATCCCTGGGGCAGGTTGTTCGTCCCAGGTTCGTTTGCGATGGTGCCAAAGCCCGATAACAGGCCCCATGTGGACAGAATCGACGAAAAACGCCAGTGGAAAAGAACAGGTCGTCGGAGACATGGGAGGGCAGCGGTATCGGCATCTCTGCAGATGGCTCAACTCTTCGTACGTGTCGACGACGTCTGACTACGATGAATTATTAGTTGACCTCTTCGTATTCCTCGAAGTATGCGCATTCGCATTCTTGTTCTACGTATTAGTACGATTAGTATCGTTATTATCATTACCATTAGTGTTACTATTACCATTGTCATTTCGCTTCCTCTTCTGACCTGCCTGTCTCAGAAGGCCATTCCCCTCGCCGCGGCACCTCCTGCGCGACGCCAGCCCTCGCGGGCCAGAGCCCGGCCCGAAGAGGGTGCGGCGGAGAGGTGGGGGCCGACAGCTCCTGCCTATATGGCCAACGACTGTCGAGATGTTCTCCTCGGAGGCGGGTCTTCAGGCGCGTCGAGGCAGAGACGGGCCATCTCTGGAGGCCAGTGCACACTGGTGCTGTGCGTACTGCTGCTCCCGGGCAGGAGCGTATCGGCTGCGTCTTCCGCCCTGGGAGTTGGAATGTGATCGAATATGCTGCCTCGGGGGCTCCATGATGATAGGAGGAGGTCGATGACGAGGAGGGGCAGGAGAAGAAGGAGGAGGGAAACTAGGAGGAAGAGGAGAAGAAGAAGGAGAATTAGAGAAGGAGGGTAGGAGGACGATGAGGAGGGGGAGAAGGAAGACCATTGTAAACCCAAGAGTCATCAACGATGTTGGATTCAACCCTCGTGCCAAGCTCCCTCGTCGTAGGCCCCTACATCGGCCGGTTCATTTCCACTGAGGGAACGTCCTCGTTGGAAGACAACCGTTCGAAGACCCTGAAGCATGCCAAAACATTGTTCTCATAATTCCCAACGCTACGGATCGACCTGACTGCGCCTTGACGATCCTGAGTCGCGCAAGAACGCCATTCCTGGGACTTCAACACCGCGAATCAACGTAACTTCTGCACCCTCAAAATTTTGAATCCTTCCAAAACGCCATTTCTGGTACGCTGACCATGGGAAAATATGAAAACCTTGCAGCTTAAAAACGAGCGTGCGTGGCGCTAACGCGAGAGCCACATGTTGAAAAAGAACCGCCATCAATTCGTGAAACTCTCGCACATGTTTAAAAACGAATGCACGCGGCGCTTGGGCGAGAGCCACATGTTTTAAACCATCCACCCTCAATCCGTGCAACTCTTGCAAATGTTTAAAACGAATGTGCGCGGCGCTAAGGCGAGAGCCACCTTTTGAAAACGGGCCGCTCTCAGTCTGTGAAACTACTATCAACGTTGAAGCTTCAGGGTCATACATGGTGAGGAAGTCTCAGGCGAAACGCCCGCCCCGCCTTAAAAACTAGCTTCGGGGTGCGACAATGAAAATTATGCATAAGAGAAAGGAATTCAGGACGAGGGGGGGAGGGGAGGGGAGGGGAGGGGAGGGGAGAAAGGAAGCGAAGGAGGGGGAGAATCGGATAGGAAGATCAGGAGAAGGAGGACTCGGAAGAGAAGAAGGAGCAGGAGGATCCATTCCGCTCACTGGAACCCCTGAAGAAGGACCAGGATGAGGAGCAAGAGGGATATCCGTTCACCCCGCTCATTGGAAGCCCCAGGGAGGACCAGGAGGAGGAGGAGGAGGCGGAGGAGGAGGAAGGAAGCGGGAGGAGGGTGAAGAGGGAAGGGGGAAGGAGAGCCAAGAGGAGGAGAAAGGAAGATTAGGAAACCCCGCACACCGTCCTGGGACCCGGGGCGGGGGGAGGAGAAGGAGGAGTAGGAGGACGGCTCTTCATCCCGAGCATGTGGTGACGGCCCCCGGGCCTGGCAAGGGCCCCCGGAAGCAGAACAACATGTAAAACACTCGGTGGATGGTTTTGTCACGGCGCAAAGGGTTCAGGAACATGTTGGTACCACTGCCCCCTTTTCCTGACCTCCTTGCTCGGTGATCGAATCACGACTGAAGGAGCTTTTCTGTGTCAGCCTCCTAGGACCCTGACCTTATTCTTCCCCCCAGGCACCCAGCCAGCAACGATGACTCCACAAGCTCTGGGCCGAAAACAGCAACAGCAACGCATGCAGCCCTGCGGTATGTACCTCTGGGGGGCCCTTACTGGGCCCCAGGACCGCCAGGAAGGGGTCGAGCCAGGTTGCGAAAAAACAGCACGATCGGAAACTGTTGCTTGGCGTGTTGCCACGGCGGCCCCGGCGACACGCTGTACCTTGCAAGCGGATGGCGTGCCGCTTCGCTCCGCGAGGCGGGAGGCTCTGGGAAGCTCAGGACGCTGACGCCGCGGGGCCGCGAAGTGGATGGCGTGTCGTACCAGGGCGCAGTGGGCCAGAACTGGCTGAGCGACACGCTGTCCAACAGTTCCCGGCCTTACCACGTTCGAGGGGCCGCCAGCTGGCAGGGGCGACGGGCAGCCAACTGGCATGCCCGCACCGATGACGGGAAGAGGATGCCCGACCGCAACTTCAGAGCCCCGAGAGGCCCCAAAGATGGTCCAAGAGGGCCCTGAGTCACTTCCCGATCGCTGGAAGACGCCCAAGATAGCTCGAAGACGGACCAAGAGGCCGCCAAGGCGCCCCAAGAGAGCTCCAAGAGGCGTCCCAGGAGGGCCCCAAGAGGCCAACATCTCAAATAACGGTGTTTGAAGGGTTCGGAGATTCTCAAAGTTTAAAGCTTTCGACGCTCCAAAACCTCCGAAGAGGTCCTCAAGACCGCCGCGAGACGGCCAAGACGGCCCAAGAGAGCTCCAAAACGGCCCCCAAAGGGCCTTCAGAGGACCCCGAGATGGGCCCAGAGAGGGGGAACACGACCTGAAAATCTGAGCATTCCGCCCGAAGAGGCGCCCAGGAGTCCCCCAAAGGCCCACTCGAGGCCCCAAGAGGCCCCCAAGGTGCCCCCGATAGGCTCAGAAACAGCCCCAAGAGGCCCCAGACCAGCCCCCAAGAGGCCTCCAAACCGCCGCCACGAGGTCCCCAAGAGGGCCTCGACAAGATCCCCACGCATCCAAGGGGCTTCAGACCCACGGCGGCGGGATGGGCCGCAGGCCAGCGGATGTGCACACGTCTCCGGGGGTCCGCGCACCTCTCTTGGATCGACGCCAGGGCCCCCCTCCCCGGCGCGCGGAGCTCCGCACGGTTATGATCCTGCCGCATGTATTGATTCAGCCCTGGCCGCCCCTATGGAAGCGGCGCGCCATGGGGGGGAAGGCAGAGGGTGGGGGAGGGGCGAGAGCCTTCTGGGGAGGCGGCGGGGCACTTCTGAGAGGCCCCCGCCCGCCTTCTGAGAAGCCCCCATGCACGGAGAGGGCGCAGAAGGCCTCTCCGAAGGCGCGAGGGCTTCCGAGAAGCCTGGCCGACTCCATTCCGAGAAGGCCACCCCGGGCGCGCCGCCGACCACTGCGACCGTGCCGAACCGCCGTCCTGGGACCCCGGGCGCAGGCGCTCGTCCACCTGCAGCATCTGCCGCACGAGGTCCCGCGCCGGCGCGGGGGCGTCGGGGATCTTCTCCATGGGCGGGCCCCACGCCTGGGTGCGTCGGCATCAGGGAGGGGGAGGGGGAGGGGAGGAAAAGGAGGGAGGAGGAGTGAAGGGTGAGGAGGAGGAGGAGGAGGAGGAGGAGGAGGAGGAGGAGGAGGAGGAGGAGAAGGAGGAGGAGGAGGAGGAGGAGGAGGACGGGAGGAGGACGGGGGGAGGGGGAGAGACAAGGGAGACGGAGAGCGGAGAGGGAGAAGGAACGAGGGAGGAGGGGGAGGCGGAGAGGAGGGGCAGAAGGGAGGAGACAGAAGGAGGGAGGAGGGAGGAGGGAGGGGGGGGAGATGAGGAGACGAGGGAAGATGAGGAGGGGGGAGGGGATGGAGAAGACGTGGGGCGAAGCGGGAGGAGGGGGCAGGGAGAGGGGGAGGAGACAACCTAGGTGCGCTCGTGCCACATCGGACATCCTATCCGTCCCTACCATCCCTTCCCGTTGTGATGATTGTCTCTTTATGTCCGTGGACGCGTGTCATAGCCAAACCGTAACTCTGGGAGAAACCCATCGTGTTATGCGCAATCAGAAAAGGGGAAGTTCCGTACATAGGAGGAGGAGGAGGAGGAGGAGGAGGAGCAGCAGCAGCAGCAGCAGCAGCAGCAAGAGGAGAAGGAGGAAGATGAGGAGAAGGAGGAGGTGGCGGGTGAGCAGGAGGATAAGCAGGAGGAAGAGGAGTAGGATGAAGAAGGAGGGGGACGAGGACGAACAGCAGCCGCAGGAACGAAAGTGGAAGGAGCGGGAGGAGCAGGAGGACCCGGGAAGGCTGAGGAGGCGGAATGAGGGGGCGACAAAATGACAAATTACCGGAATCTTAGGAAAGTGGGTCGCACGGGGGCGAGAGCGCTAACCTCATGCCCGTGAGAATAAACACTAGGGGATAATAAAGTTCGGGGTTCAGGGAGAGATAATAAAAGTAGCCCAGCAGACCTCAGCATAATCTCGAAGTAAGAGATGATCAAGAGGAGACCAAGCCGAGCACGTTTTGAGACATCCTTGGCGTTTAGTTTTCATAGAAATATCCTCAACAATGGCTTATCTCGCTGGAGACATCCTCGACAAATCCCTTGTTTCGCTTGAGACATCCTTCAGTATATGCTTGTTTCGCTTGAGACATCCTCGAGTATATGCTTGTTTCGCTTGAGACATTCTCGGAATAGCTCATCCGCCTCGGTGTCCCTGGATAATCAACCGCGGCGATAATAAAGTTCAGGCGGGCGGAGGAATAGAGAAAGCGATATACACAAACAAAAATAAAATTAAAAAAAAACAATAAGAAATGAACAAGAACAAGGAAAAAAATCAAAAAGAAAAGAAAACAGAGGAGGAGGAGAAAGAGAAGGAAAAATCCCAAGTTCAAATGTATTAGATTTTATTTACAAACGCTTTATGAAAATCAAATTTTTTAAGTGCTCGTGTAGGGTAGCTCATGTGCTTCATTTTCCATGGATAATCAACCCCAGGGATAAAAAAGTTCAGAGGGGGGCATGGAGAGAGAGAGAGAGAGAAAGAGAGAGAGAGAGAGAAAGAGAGAGATACATCATAAAGAAAAAGAAAGGAAGGACTTAAACCATGGGCATGGGCATGGGGTATCTCAACATAGCGTTTCGAGGTGATAATGAAGTTCGGCCTCAGCGCTCGCCGCCCAATTTGAATTTTGTATAGGGCGACGATAATCAACTCTAAACACTGAAGGGGGGGTCCCTTTATTATCATCGGCATGCGGTTACTCTGAACGAGAGCACAGCGCCGATCCGAAAATGCCGCCCACGTTGCAGCGTGAGCCCCGTTGGAAACACCGGAAGCATCCGGACTGCAAACAAACATGCCGGAAAACGAATGAACTTGCAATCCTGTACGTAAAATCGCGCCCCCCCCCCCCACCCCACCCAAAAAAAAAAAACGGAGAGGGCCGAACTTCTTCCGCACAGAGTCGCGGGAGAGAGGGGAGTAGCACTCAAGCGATGTACAAGTGTGGACCTGCTGGGCGCTCGGGGGAGGGCGGGGGCGGAGCGGCAGTCCGGGCCGGCGAGGGGGGCCGGCCCCCGGCTTCTCCGGGTGTGCTGCTCGCCCGCCTGCGGGGGTGCCCCCGGCGCGCCCGCAGGCGGAGAGGGGGCAGCGGGGGGGCCACCCGGCAGCCCCTCGTCGTGGCCCGAGGCATGGCCGGGCGAAGAGCCCAGTCCTGGCTACACGAGGTGCGGCTCTCGACAAGACGACAAGACGGGGCGTGCTGCCGGGCTCGGGAACGCCGTGCGAGGACGCCCGCTGGGGCGGGCAGATCCCTGTGGGCCAGAAGGCCTGAAGGTAGGATCCCTCGTTGAGACTGCGCTCCAGGGTCGGCGCCCGAGAAGCTCAAGCAGGGGCCGTTCCCGGAGCCGCCGCAGGTCGAGGAGGAGGAGGAGGAGGAGGAGGTCGAGGAGGAGGAGGAGAGAGGAGAGAGGAGAGAGGAGGAGAAGGAGAAGGAGAAGGAGAAGGAGAAGGAGAAGGAGAAGGAGGAGGAGGAGGAGGAGGAAGAGGAGGAGGAGGAGGCGTGAGAAGTGTGCCGAAGTGGGCGCGGGGACGCCATGCCAGCACGCCCACTGCGGCCATGGGTGGAGTCCTGTGGGCCACGAACCGTAGGAGAAGTGTGCCGACATGGGCGGGAGGGCGCCCTGCGAACACGCCCTCTGGGGCCCACAAGTATGGGAGGAGGGAACAAGAAAAAGGATGGAGGAGGACAGGAGGAGTAGGGAGGAGGGGGGAGGGGGGAGAAGAAGGAGGGTGAGAAAGGAAAGAATGAAGGGAGGAAAGAATGAAGGAGACGCGCGGCGCTGCGGCTTCCAAACGAAGGCCCAAGACACAGGAGGGCTGGGAAGAACTGGCGGGAAAGTCCTGGCAGTGCTAAGCCTCCAGGAGCCCTCGCTGGGCCTGGGGCCGTCAACAGACGGCTCGGGATGGAAAAACAATCCCCTGGGAGGGGTCCAGACCGCTGGGTAGCCACGGTGCGAAAATACCACGACGTCGGATGTCTGGTTGTCCCCTACCTAGGCTCTGCCTAGAAGGGTTCTTACTCTGTTAGCTTAAAGGGGCCGGGCAGTGTAAAGCGCCCCGGGCGGTTCCCCCGGCATCCGCCCCGCGGTTCCCCCAGTTGCGTCACCTTAGCTTAGCGTTGCTTATCTCATCTTAGTTTAGCTTAGTTTATATTAGTTTAGCTTAGCTTCATCTTAGTTCAGGTTTATCTTAGCTTAGCTTACCTTCACCTTAGCTTCGCTGAGCTTTAGCATAGCAGAGTACAGCAAATCATATAATAGCGTAGCATAGCATAGCGCAGCACAACATATCATAGCATAGCCCAGCATAGCATAGCATAGCGCAGCACAGCATAGCATAGCATAGCATAGCGCAGCACAGCACAGCACAGTACAGCATAGCACAGCGCCGCATAGCATAGCAGAGCATAGCACAGCAGCCAAGCAAAGACAAAGCAACAGCAGCGACAGCAAAGGTGTAGATGTAGATGTAGATGTGGGTGTAGGTGTAGATGTAGATGTAGATGTAGGTGTAGATGTAGGTGTAGGTGTAGCTGTAGATGTGAGTCTCACTGTTGATGTTGATGTGGATGTAGATGCAGGTGTAGATGTGGATGTAGCTGCCGGTGTAGATGTAGATGTTGTTTTCCTAGATGCTCCAACTCCTAGGTAGGGTCGTACTGGAATAATGTTTTATACCTCCACGGCTACATGCCCCAAGATTGAAGGAACCAGGGCGAGGGCAGAAACTTAACACTCCTCTCCCTCTTCGTCTGCTGCGGGGGCCTGCCTGAGCACACGTCCTTCCGAGCGGCACGGCCCGCGCCGTCCTCGACGCTGTTGCAGAGTCTGGCGAGCTTGACCAACTTGCCACCCGTGCTGCAGTGGTGGCAGTCCAAGCAAATACAAAGCCATGACTCATTGGAGCAACCTATACGAGCACAGAGTTGGCCATTGTCAACAGGCATCTGAGGATTCAAGCGAGGGGGGCACAGTACACGTGCCTGGAAGGGAGCGGCTTTCACCTCTCTTACCTCGCAAACAGATTTGGCACTGACAGTGCGTGGAGACCAAGGACCAGGAGTGCCCAGGGCCCTCCTCAGCAACGGCAGATCATACAAGTTCCACACATTCAATACCCGATTCACCACACTTAGGCCAGAGCGGGAGCACTCCTGCGGCTGGTCTAGCCACAGCACGGGGAACCTCAACATACTGGTCCACTCGCTCTTTCAGATCGGAATGAACTTTAGGGTGGTGCTGCTGGGTGTCTGGTTGGCCACAGGGCGGGGGTGATGAGGAGGCCCACAAGATGGACCCCCCACGCGACACTGCCCATGCCCGAGCACGCGCACGAAGACGCCAGCGTCAGGACAACAGGGAGTTAAATGCTGATGCTGCCACATCACGCGTGCCCCCTTGTGATCCCCTTTACTTCGACAGAACTTGCTCCGACTGGGCTCAGCGCCGCACGAGGAGACTGAGCTCAGCTGGAGGCCCACCAGATCAGATGGAGCCCCGCTGGCTTCGACTGAACTTGCTCCAACTGGATCCTGCGCAGCCCGAGAGGAGGAAGGAGACGTACCCAGACATCCGACGCCCCTATGTTTGCAGAGCGCCGCTCCCCAGCTGGATGCCTGGGCCCCTTCTGAGGGACAGGCTCGTCATCCCAGCGCGGTCCCCCCGGAAGCCGGAGGCATGCAGAAAACGCCCGTCGCGAACGTGTCAAGACGCGAGAGATGTCGGGGGAGAGACGGGCACCGGCAGGGGTGCGTCGGGGGTCTCCCCTCCGTCGGCGGACCCCGCGATGCGGTCCAGGGCCCTCGAAGTCAGGGGATCGGCGCTCGAGGTCTCTGGGCGCTCTTTGACTATTTCGGGCCTCCTGGGGCGCCCTCGTCACCAGGGCTGCGTCCGCCTCGGAAGTTTGGCTCGCACGCAGCCCAGGACTGGCCCGGTCGAACTTGAGGAAGAGGACATCGCGGAGGAGCAGAAGGAGGAGCAGGAGGAGGAGGAGGAGGAGGAGGAGGAGGAGGAGGAGGAGGAGGAGGGTTCCCCAGGGTCCCCTTCTAAGCCCGTTCTGCGTCTGAACCTGTTCGGCCGCGTCGAACGGGCTCAGTTCCGACAGAGTCGTGGCAAATTGAGCCAGGCGGTCGATCCCGAGTCCGCTCGGCGGCCGGACGGCCTCAGAGGCCGAGCGGGCTCAGAGGGGAACCCTGGGGTGCGTCCACCTCGCGAGTCTGGCCCGCACGCAACCCAGGAGGAGGAGGAGGAGGAGGAGGAGGAGGAGGAGGAGGAGGAGGAGGAGGAGTGTAAACCCAAGAGTATGAACGATGTTGGAATCAACCCTCCCTCCAAGCTCCCTCTGCATAGGCCCCTAAAACGGTTCATTTCCATCGAGGGACCTGCCTCGTTGGAAGACAACCGTTTGAAGACCCTGAAGCATGCCAAAACATCATTCTCGGGATTCCAACGCCACTGATCTACGGATCAACCTGACTGTTGCGTCTTGACGATCCTGAATCGTGCCAGAACGCCGTTCGTGGAACGTCAACACCGCGAATCAACGTAACTGTTGCACCCGCATAATCCTGAATCCGTCCAAAACACCATTTCTGGTACGCTGATCATGGGAATCCGTGAGCGCGGTGCAAAGGCGAGAACCACATGTTGAAAAGGAACTGCCCCCAATCCGTGAAACTGTTGCAAATCCTTAATTAAAAAGAATGGTCTCGGCGCTAAGGCGAGAGCCACATTTTGAAAACCATTCGCCCTCAACCCTTTAAGTGCTTGCAAATGTTTGAAAACGAATGTGCGCGGCGCTAAGGCGAGAGCCACATTTTGAAAACGACTCGCCCTCCATCTGGAAAACTGCTGCCAACGCCCAAGCGTCAGAATCATACATGGTGAGAAAGTCTCAGACAAAATGCCCGGCCCGCCCTAAAAACTGGCCTCGGGGTGCGACAAGGAGAAATTATGTCCAAGGGAAATGGAGGAGGAGGAGGAGAAGGAGGAGGAGGAGGAGGAGGAGGAGAAGACGAAGGAGGAGGAGGAGGAGGAGGAGGAGGGGACAAGAGGAGGAGGAGGAGGAGGCGGAGGAGGAAGAGGGGGGGCAAGGGGATGCCCGGCGCCGCGCCTGCTCCAGCAGTATCGACCTCGCTCCCAGCGGGTCCCCCTCGCAGGGCTCCGGCCAGAAGGGGTACATGTAGGGCGCCTGCCCGCCCCTGCCGTCGGGGATGTGCAGAAGACGAAAGAGCGGCTCAGCACACGAACAGGTCGCAGGAGGACATCCCTCGTACTGCGATGTCCTCCTCGGAGGCGTGCGCCCGACCCGAACATCTAGTACAGCAGTACTGTAGCACATCGCTTCCCGAGCGGCACGGCCAGAAGGCGCCCGCCACGGAGCAAAAGCTATGAGATTTCTCGGCGCGCGCGTCGCCCCGTCGGAGGCGACGCGCAGACAGTAGTAGTGTGTGTGTGTGGGTGGCGCCGAACAAACTTCTGAAGCAACGCGCGGATGTCTTGGACCTGAGTTGGACCACCGCTCCTAGCGCGCGGAGCGCGCCAATGACGGCGCCGCCAGGGGGATCCAGCGCAGGTTCAAAGAAATCCGCGAAGAGACGCGGAAGCTTACGGTCATGAGCTGTTGCTTAGCGTGTCGCGGCGACGGCCCCGGCGACACGCTATTCCCAACGAGTTGATAGCGCGTCGCTCCGTTTCGCGGGGCGGGAGGCTAGGGAAGGCTCCAGGACGGTGACGCTTGGGCACCAGGACGCGGCTAGCGTGTCGCGCCGAAGCATGGTGGGCCAGAACCAACGGAGCGGCACGCCCATCAAACGTTTCTGACCGTGTGTTTGTGCTGTTCTTTCTTCTTCAGATGGAGCGGGGGTGGAGGTTAAAGATCGCAAAGAGCATGCATCCCAGGCTCCAGATGTCGCACTTGTACGAGAAGTCGCCGCGGATGACCTCTGGCGCCATGGTCGCCATGGACCCCGCACGCAGGCCGGAGCGGAGGCGCCTGGCGTGCTTCGGCCCAAACAGCTCCGCGAGACCCACGTCTGTAGAAGAGAAGAAAATCCTGCTGCACATGAGCAGTCAAGGGCCCGCGCGGATTTCACGGATCGGCGCTGGAGGCGCCGACATTGGGGGGGGGGTCTCGGGCGCCGAGCCAAGAAGTCCGCGAGGGCCTTCGACAGCTGATGCTTCTGCTGGTGTTTGTCCTTCGAGTCTATGACAACAACTCGGACGTCTTCCAGGCAGCTCTCGTGCGTCAGCTGCTTCTGGAGCATGATGTTCTCGAACTTGAGGTCCTTGTGCATGACACCTTTCTCGTGGCAGTAGCCGATAGCCTGCAGCGTCTGAGAGAAGATGCGCACGAGCCAGGCCTCGGGCAGTGGCCTCTGCTGATCCACGCAATCCTTGTATAGGTCGAGCAGCTCGCCACCCCTGCAGACATCCATAACGATGTAAACGTTGGAGCTGTCATTATACCATTCTCAGCGCCACCCTGACGGGTACTCAGCAGACCCAGACTCGGATCGATGCAGGAGGCGGCGCTTTCCTGCCGCTGTCCTGCATCATCCCACGCGGAAGTGATGCTTTCTTCACAGTGTCCTGCCCCCTTCCAGCGCGCTGCCTCAACGTCCATGACAACAAAATCCTTACACGCTGTGAACCCAGCTCGGTGGCACTGACATTCAAAAAGCCGGAGAATGCTAGGGTGGTCGAGCATCACCAGAAGCCGGATCTCCTGATCCAAAAGCGCCAGCGGAATCTTACTGTCGAACATCTTTGTTTTGTTGATTGTCTTCAGGGCGCGCTCGAATCCCGTCGTCCGGTGAGTAACCTTATGGACTACACCAAACTGCCCCGCGCCCAAACGCTCACCGATGGAGTAGAATTGGACCGGCACCCCCTCGACGGCTCCGCCAATGAGGTCCTGACGACGCAGCCGTGGCGGGTTCAGATCCTCGTATCTCCTCCACAGGGTCCAGCGATAGAGCTCGAGGAACTCGTCCTCGCTGAGGCTGCCGTCGCCGTACCTGTCGAACCTCCGCATCCGCTGGCGCGCGAGCTGCCAGCTCTGCTCGTCGGAGTGGATATGTGGAAGGCCCAGCTCCTCGTGGATCTTGGGAATGAGCTGCTCGAGCTCTTCCAGGGAGAGCCTCCCGTCGCCCGACAGGTCGCCCAGCCGAAAAAACTTCGTGGCGCACGCCCGCAGTACCGCCGGGCTCGTGGCCACCAGGCGTATGTGCCTGCTGTCCCTGGCCAGCGCCTCTGGCGGCGGTGGGGTCCGCTCGGAGCAGGGCCCGTTGAGGCAGCGGCGGCTCTCCCGCCCGGCCCACATCCCCTCAAACTCAATCTCTGGACCCCCTCCCGGGGCCGGACCCGTTTTTCGCGGAGGCGCCAGCCACGGCGGCGAGAAACCTCGAGGAGGCCCAGGAGAGCCCCCGCTGCCTGGACTGGCCCTCCTCCGATCTGCGCTCCCGGCGGCGGCGTCCGGGCCTCCGCGGGCGCGGCCTGCCTCCCGCCGCCGGCGAGGCCACTGGCTGCCGCTGGGCCCTGCGCAGGACCGCCGAGCGGAACGGGCCACGCCGCCGCCCTCTGCGCCAGGACGTCGGGCGCCGCCGCGCCACACGCCGCCGCCGCCGCCGGGACCCGCGGCGAGGCCCAGGCCGGCCAGGCCAGCAGCGCCTGGGCTCTGAGCGGTCGCCCAGCGCCGGGCGCCTGCGCTGCAGACCCGCCAGGCCCCTGCGGCGCGCTGGCCGCCGTGGCGGTCGCAGGCCCGGGCGGCCGGCGTGGCACACCAGCCGCAGCGGCCGCGAGCGGCGGCACGCGCACCTGGACGCCCCAGGGGCAGGCCGCGGGCGATGCGCCCCGCGAGCCTGGCGCCCCAGCGGGCGCGGCGCTGGGCGCACCCCAGGAATTCACCGCGGGCGCTGCGCTCTGCAGGCTCACCGACCCGGAGGGCACGGCGCCGCCCTCGTCCTGCAGCGCGCCGCGCACCAGGGCCGGCGGGGCGCCGGTCTGCACGTGTGCGCCCGCCGGACGGGCTCCTGACAGGCTGCGGCGCGGCGCGGCTCCCACCAGCAGGGGCTGCACGGCGGGCGCTGCCAACGCCGGTGCTGCGGCCCGCGCGCCTGGCACGAGGGCCTGCGGGGGCACGGGGCAGAGCTGCGTCCGGGCTGGCAGCATCGCGACCCCAGGGGAGAGGAGGGGGGGAGGAGGGGGCGGAATCGCCCACCTGCGGGTGGCATGAACCCAGAGGGCTCTGCTCCTCCGACTCCTCCTCCTCCTCCTCCTCCTCCTCCTCCTCATCCTCCTCATCCTCCTCCTCACTCCCTCCTCTGCCTCATCCTCCCCCTCCCACATCCCATATCCTCCTCCCCAAGTGTCACTGGCACCATCACCAACAACTACTACTGCTCGACTCGAAGCCCTCGAGTCCCGCCCTCTTCGTTCGATCGCGCCCACTTTGCTGGGAGTACTCTCCCTGCGGGGCGGGCGAACTTAGACAGTTGAGCGCGGCGGCTGGACCCAACCTGGTGGTCAGGTGAGTGCGGGCGGCCCTGACTCGGGTGGTCGGGTGGGGACGGGCCCCGACTTGGGCGGTCGGATCTGGACAGCTGGGTCGGGTCGGGTGGAACCAACGAAGAATAATGAGGGAGGGGGTACGGAGAGAAGGTTTTGGCTGCTAGGACGAACCTGGCGCTTCGTGCCGCAGCTAGCCGTCTGAAAGGAGGGGCTATAGGGGGCACACTGAGGGAGGTGCCTCGCCTTAGTCCACAGAGTCTCCAGCCAGCGGAGAGCTGGCCTGGAGAGCCCGCTCCCAGAAGGCATCGCACTCCCACGGCAAGAGGGAACGCGACGCTTCCCCAAGAGCGAGCTTCATGCTATGAGGAGGGGAAGCGGGAGGGCGGAAAACGTAAGAGAGAAGGTGGAGGCGGTCTGCCGTTCGACTTGTTGAGGAGTGCATGGGGACCCCAGGGACAGACTGCGACGGAACAAGGGCGCGATTCCTGAGGAAGTGATCGGGACGTCGTAAGTGAAAGCATGACGCTCGAGTGGCGAGAGCCCACCTATTGAGCAAAAGAAGCTTCAAGCAAGACCGCGGCTCCCGAGTGAGTTGTGAGGGAATGTCCAGCGATGTCACGATGCCTGGGCTGCGGGAGCGATTCCTGAAGAGGATGCGGGGAGGTCTCAGGCAAAAGCGCGAGCCTCGAGAACAAATGTGAGGCGCCACTGGCGAGAGCGCGGTTCCTCAGTTAGCACAAGAAAAGTCCCAGGCGGGAGACCTTGCTATTGAAGTCCAGGGGCCAGGGGGCGCAGTTTGAGCCCATCCTCGTCAACAGAAATCATGCGCAGGCGTCGATAGACACACTTCGATCCAGCAAAACGATGGGCACCGAGTAAGGGGAACCAGCAGTAACGACACTGGTTGCCTTGATACGCGACGCGCGAAACGGAGGGTGATGACACGTGGCTCCACGGTTTCAGGACGCAGATCTGGCACGGACCAACTATCTTACCACCACGCAACAGTTGGTCAGCCCAGACGTGCTGAACACGGCACGTGTAACGTTCCTATCTGGGCGTAGCCTGGCAACAGTGATCGCGTATCCTTAAAGAAGTAAGAACTCAACACACCAGTTGAAGGGAACCAGCAGCTACTGGGCGGGCCTGGACGGCGGGCGAGGGCTGGGCGGACCCCTTGGCGAGGCTCACGAAGAGACGCTGAGAGAGGCGAGGAGAGCAGATCGGAGGCCAGGTGGATCGCCAGGGGATCGCCTGACGCCCAGCACGAAGCCACGACCGACACCAGCCCAACGCCCAGGACGACATCGACGGAGACCAGCAGCACGCCGATGATACAGCACATACATATACGGTAGGGAGCCTGGCCACGAGCCATCCAGGGGCATGCTTGCCGACGACCTCTGAGCTTACCAAGGCAACTGAAGCCCTCTGCGGGTTTCCAGGGCCATCGGGCGAGAAGGAGCTCCCGCTGGGCACCTGCTGGCAGGCCAGCTCCGTACACGACGCGCCTACAGCCACCTTGCTACCAGGAGAAGCGCGGAAGAAGGAACGATGGTACCTTGCCGGCCACAGCGAGCCTCGGCCACGAGTGAGTTCCCCGACCCACGTGTCAGGGAACGGGCCGAAAACCAGAGCCACTCCTGATCAGCCATAGAAGGACCCCTAGCCCTTTGGGAGGGGACCGAAGTAAGGAGGGACAGGCAGATTAGGGATAAGGGGGTCTATTTTGCAGGTGTACCAAACCAAACCGCCAACAAGTGCTGCCCCGACTGCCAAGGCGGGGACCTGAGAGAGGCCACGTTGTTGACTATGTTATGAGGGTTACGGGTTCTTTGATTCTCGATGACCTCCCGAACCCCAGGCGGCCCTCATCTCAGCGCCCTGACCGTGCTGCAGCACCCACAGGATCCCAGCCGCACCACGCTGACGGCCACGGCAAGAACCAGCAACCGCAAACGGCCAGGGAGGCCGAGCGCGAGCTGGCCCTCTCGGGAGGCCGTGCGCCCGCGGCCGGGGGAGGGCGGCGCGCCCCCGGGGGCCCCCCGCGGGGAGCCCCAGAGGCGCCCGAGGCGCCCCAGAGCCAGAGAGAGCAGCTCGAGCCGCGATCCTGGGCCGCCGAGCTTCGCGCACCGCGCCCGCGCGGGGCACCCTCCGCGTCCTCCGGGCGCCTCCCTGGAGAGGGGCCATGGCTCGGCGGTCCCGGCCGCGACGCGCGCAGCGCGGCGCTCTTCGCGCCCACGGGGAAGCCCGCGCGGGCGACCCCGGAGAGCGCCGGAGGCCCGGGACCTTCGACGTATCGTGCTTTCTTCGCTCGCAGCGTGGCGACCGGACGGTCTGGGCCCCACGCCGAGGACTGACTCTTCCTCCGGAGAGTCCGTGGTGGACAGTCCCGGGACACCCGGCGAGAGGGGCCTCCGCTCTGGCCGGAGAGGCCGGGCCCAAGAGCTGCCAGACGCCTGCGCTCGCGTCTGGTGTGGGCGACGCGGATCTGCAGAGGCCTACCAGATGGGGTCCTAGGAGGTAGGGTCGGAGCATCGCGCCGCATCGTCGACGTCGGCGGTACCTTGGCGCCGTCAACATGGAGAAGATCGAGATCGAGCTCCACATCGAGCCGCATCCCCGGTGCATCAGCGGTGCGGCGCGATCTTCCAACCCCGTCTGCTCGGACCCCGTCGGGGAGGCCTGGAGTCGGAGAAGGGCGATTTGAGGCACTGGGCGCTCGAGATCGGCTCAAATTCGGCCCCCAGGCCCCGAGAAGAGCACGACTGCTGGAGGGGGAGGAGGAGGAGGAGGAGGAGGAGGAGGAGGAGGAGGAGGAGGAGAAGAAGGAGAAGGAGAAGGAGGAGGAGGAGGAG